CACCCTAGCAACCACTTAGCATTGAATAGCAACACCCTAGCAACCACCTAGCCACCAGCTACTGACACCCTAGGAACGTCTTCCGACACCCTTGCAACACCCTAGCAACCACCTAGAATTGCATAGCAACAGCCTAGCAACCATTTAGCTATGCCTAGCAACCACCTAGCAACCAGCTACTGGGACCCTAGCAATGCCTTCTGACACCTTAGCAACACCCTAGCAACCACCTAGCAACACCCTAGCAACCACCTAGAATTGTATAGCAACACCCTAGCAACCACCTAGCAACACCCTAGCAACCACCTAGAATTGTATAGCAACACCCTAGCAACTGCCTAGCAATGCCTAGCAACCAGCTACCGACACCCTACCAACGCCTTCCGACACCCTAGCAACCACCATGCAACACCCTAGGAACCACCTATAATTGCATAGCAACACCCTAGCAACTATCTAGCAATGCCTAGCAACCAGCTACCGAAACCCTACCAATGCCTTCCGACACCCTAGCAACCACTTACAATTGCATAGCAACACCATAGCAACCACATAGCAACGCCTAGCAACCACTTAGCAACCAGCCGAAACCACCCTTGCAACCACTTAAAATTGCATAGCAACCATCTAGCTACGCCTAGCAACCAGCTATTGAGACCCTAATAACGCCTTCTGACACCCTAGCAACCACCTTGCAGCACCTAGCAACCACCTAGCAACACCCTAGCATCCACCTAGAATTGCATAGCAACACCCTAGCAACCGCCTAACAACCACCTAGCAACCAGCTACTGACACCGTAGGAACGCCTTCTGACACCCTAGGAACCACCTAGCAACACCCTAGCAACCACCTAGAATTGCAGAGCAACACTCTAGCAACCACTTAGCTACGCCTAGCAACCACCTTGCAACCAGCTACTAAGACATCAGCATTGCCTTCTGACACCCTAGCAACCACCTAGCAACACCTTAGCAACCAGCTACCGACACCCTAACAACACCTTCTGACACCCTAGCAACCACCTAGGAACAGCTTAGCAACCACCTACAATTGCAAAGCAATACCCTAGCAACCACCTAGGAATGCCTGGCAACCACCTAGCAACCAACTACAGACCAGCCAATTAATTAGATGCACCAGCTCTTCCACGGTTAGCAGAATAGGCCCATCTCAAAATTTCTTCAGGAATTTTCATTCTAGTTATATTTATCATTGTTATACTTTGGACAAAAGGCAACAGCGTTATCCAGTGAGCCAACTATTACTAATTATTCTTTGTTTCTTGTCATAATACTTACTTAAAAATGCAAGACATTTTTTTTCACAAATAAAATAATGATTAACCTTCGCCCATTTGACTTTGCCTTTATAGTCCAGTTCTAGCTGCAGCGTTGGTTTTGGCTACGGCGGCACAGAGCAGCTCTGGATCCTGGGTGACGTCTTCATTAGACAATACTACGCCATCTTTGACAGGGGTAACAATCAAGTAGGTCTGGCTCTAGGTGTGTGATTTACACCAACTTGATTTAACAGTGTTGAAACATCGAGTTTACCGACTTGAAATTGTCTTGTGATGGTATAAATCTTCTACAGTCTAAATATACTGTGTCATTGGCACAATAAGCCATATACAAGTAAAATTTTATTTCCAGCTTTGACAATATTGTGGTAGATCATTCTTAGTCATAATTGTGTACTTTTTATTGCCTCCTCATATATAATGATTTTCCTGTATATTGATGCTATTTAACAAATTTAGCCAGCACAATAATTAATTTTATTTTCCGTATCAGTCCTCCAAAATACAGTGACTGTGTATGTAACACAATGGTTTGAGTTATAAAATTAAATAAATAAAATTTTGAAATTTGTTTGCTGTTTACATTAAACAAATTTTGTTTGGTGTTTATGTAGTTGATACTGAATACAGGGGCAGCACGTGACACAGTTGTCAGCACTGTTGCCTCACACCTCTGGGACCAGGATTTGAGTGTCTGCCTTGGTTCTATGTGTGCATGTTCAAAAACATGCTGAGGTGAGTTGCCAAATTGGCCATAAGTGTGAATGGTGTGTGACTGAGCCCTGCGATTGGCTGGCTTGTTCCCTGCCTTGAGCCTGTAGCCTCCAGGATAGGCTCAGGATCCCCCATGACCCCGAGTAGGAAAAGCGGTTACAGAAAATGGGTGGATGGATACGAAGTTTCTGGAGGTTAGATAACTGGGTATTCACAATTAGGGGGGGGGGGGGCATTGACCCACACATCCAGCAGAGATGAATTTGAGTTTGAATCCTACCTCTGCTCTGTATGTTGGATCGTGTTCTCCCTGGGATTCCTCTAGGTCCCTCATCTCCCACAACGTCAAAACCATTAAGTTTCTGAATCACCAATAGTACTTGAGTGTGTCCCCTGTCTTGTTTCCTGTTCTTCTTGGGATAGGCTCAAGGCTCCCAGACACCCTGTACCAGATGAAATCTAATGGATGGATGGTACATGGCTTGTTTCCAAATACCACTCAAGCATTATGCAACTGAGCATCAACACTTGTTTTTATGAAATATTTACACTTGCTGTTCTTTGGCATCACAGATATAAATCATGCAGTAACGTCTGTAGGTTACAAAAACGATGTACAAAACACAATAAAGATCAATGACATTTAAAAATCAATAAAGATGAATGACATTTAGTTTAAAAAATCCACCTGTACACACACACACAGTTCAAATCATTTAAGTTCAGCTACTAGAATGAGCAAATTTTATCAAAGCAGTAAATACATGTATAAATTTGTTCTGAGTGGTATGAACAGTGGGAAAATCTGTTTGTCTCACTTCTTTTATCGACACTGATGGTTGATTACATTGGCGCAGACCCTTAGTGTTTAGACAGGCGGAGTCTTCCACTATTTTGGTTAACAGTACAGATGAACGAAAACAGACTCTCACCCCCAGTGATTGCAGCCAAATTCACTGGGTTGTGTTGGAGAGTTTATGGGTTGACTCTTGATTACTTTGAAGATATATATTCCTTTATCCGAGCTTGTCAACTCTGAGAAAATCTCCAGAGTCTTTTGGTTAGTGGAACATTAAATTAGCAAACGGAGAAAGGTTCCACTTCGCATAATCAAAATATGATCTTACAAATTAAATAAATCTTTTATTTTCCATTTGCATATGTAATTCTTCTCTTTACCTGCCCCATCTTGCTGTCCCTAAAACAGGGGTCAGCCAATGTGTGGCCCCCCTGGAGCTGAGGGTTAAGAACCTTACTCAAGGGCCCATAGACATGCGCCTGTTCCGGATGAGGCCGGGTCTCAAACTGCCGGCCTCCTGATCATGGACACAGAGGTGCAGCCCACTTACCCCTCACTTTCGGTTATACCTTCCCAAACTTCTGAATGGGTAGCATTGGGAACACTTGCCATGTGCAAATGCTTCTATACCCATATTATACGAACGATGCCTGGCCACACCAGCCACCCAAAAAAGTCACCAATGTATTTTAACCGCAAATACCCACGTGGACAAACTGAACAATGTGATATAATCAGTTGGGAATAAAAATAAGGTTTATATCTAGATAAAGCACCCTGGTATGGTGGGTCAGTGAGTAGCACTGCGGCCTCTTGTGTTATGGGTCCTGTCAGAGGCAGAGGGGAGGCCAATAGGAAAAAATCTGCTGACCGGGATGGGGAGTACATTTTGCAGTGGCCCCCCCTGCCATGAAATCTCTGCTTCTGAGTCTTTCCCCAGCTCTCTCTGCAAGGTGTCTGCATGTTCCCCAGTGTTAATGTGCGCTTCTCTGTGCTACAAAACCATGAAGTGAAATGGAGACTTAACTGGACCATAATGTCTCACCGTGACTCTGTGCTGCATAAGCAATGAAAAATAGACAGATAAAACTGCAAGCACATTTTTAAGCAGTATATTTAGTCTTTTCATTCAACACTGGAACAGTTATATTGCAAAACCAAGTAATGCTTTGGGACAGGGATAAATGTAAATGTGATTCCCCTCCTCCAAACTTAAAGGGGATTTATCTACCCTCTGCTGGTAGTCTCCTTGCGCATTTCAAATTTCATAAACTCGCTGAAATTGGTCTCTGCAGCATTGATATGACTGTTTTACCAGTTGGGGACTTGCATTTTACGCTGAGAATTTACTCAGAACACATATTGTGCCAAAAATGCTCATTTAAACAATGCAATCATTTAGCTTTCGGAATAAAGTCAACTGTTTATCAAAGAACACAAAAGAAATTCCTGCAGTCCTGGAGATCCTTCTGTCAAAGATGTGAGCACCTCACAGGTCTTCGTACCTCACACTCAGCTGCTTACGTCACTTCACAGATACAAGGAAGAGTGCTTGTAAAAAGGCAAGAGAAACTGCAGAGAAATATGAAGTAAAACTAGTTCCAGAACATTCTTGTGTAAAAACTTTTTATTTGATTTAAATTCACACACACAACTGTGGAAAAAATTAAGAGACCACTTTTTAAAACCATATCTTTTTAAATAAATCTGCATTCTTAAATCATAGTTAAATCGTGGTTCTGTTGGCAGGAGGCTAGCTGAGCAGCAGGTTGTTTCCAGGTTAAAAATTTCTAAGACAGCAGCACAAGAACAAGGTGAAGCAGGAGACACTGGGAACGACAAGAAACCAGCCAGGTAAAGTGAAGAAGCAACATTCTAATGCCAGACATGACCGTCAACTTATCCGGCAGTTTCTCACGGATCGGAGGATGACATCAAGTGACCTTTGAAAGGTTGGGAAACATTAAGTGCAGGTGTGAAATGCACTGCTAGGACAGTTCGTATCAGGCTCCGAGAGGCAGGACTGAAGACCCATAAAGCAAGGAAGAAGCCCTTGATTAATGAGAAGCAGGGAGTTTGCAAAAAAATACATTATTCACAGAAGCAAATCCATAAATTGTGCTGTGGTCTCATTTTTTTCCCCATGTCAGTGTGTGTGTGTGTGTGTGTGTGTGTGTGTGTGTATACATTATATAAAAATCACACCAAATAAAAACAAATAAGGAGAATACGTACTGGAATTTATACAGATATATAGTCGTGTGTATACACACACACACACACACACACACACAAAATTACTTTCAGTTCATCTAATCCCGTTACTATGCACCATTTTTTTCTCAGAGCAAAAGTAATTTGTCCTTATCCAAGGATTATGTACTGGATGACATACAGTTCAGGAGCCAGGAATTCCAGCTTGTCAAATTCATCATAGCTGCTGTGACTGTCTGCTGTGAGCCTGCTGGTGTATTTTAAGGTAAAACAGGCGTGTAAAACTCTTGCTACACTGGGTACAGCCGAACGGCTTCTCCCCCGTGTGTATCAGTTGGTGTCTTCTGAGGTTGCTTTGCTGCGTGAAGCACTTCCCACAAGCGGCACAGCAGAATGGTCTCTCTCCAGTATGTATCCGCATGTGCTTGTACACATTACTTTGGTGGCTGAATTGTTTTCCGCACTGAGCACAGCTGTACAGTTTCGCCCCTGTGACAGGATTTCTCCGAGTTCTGTTTTTCATACTGAGGTTACTGCTGTTTGCATGCTCCTTCTCCGCACTCGCGTCCTCAGGGAGCTTCTCACTATCTTGTCTGTCTAATGGCCGAAGCTGCTGTGAGCCCCAGCCCTCCGCCTTGACGTCTCGCTGCCTTCCGCCGCTGTGCCCGGGTTTCGCGTGAAGCCCCTCTATTGCAGCCTCCTCACTGCACACAGGCTGCATCTCAGCTTCCTCTTTAACGACCACTAAAGTCAGCAGGTCAGCTTCGGGTTTCTGCTCAGCTAAAACTTTAGCGGGCCGGCTGACAGCAGAGCCCCCTGCTGGAGGGGGTATCTCTGCAGAAGAGTGGTCATAAATGCCCACATCACCAAAGTCTTGCACAGAGTTAAGTCCATCTTGACTATCAACTGCTGTGAAAAGTGTAAAAACATATACACTTCAAGACAACTGCAAGAGATACAAACCTTCAATCCCTGAACAAGCAACACATCCATAAGCCAACAGCTATTTCAATTTGGTTTTATATAATTAACGATAGGTGAAAAAACATGAAAAATTATTCCTATGGCCTACTGGCCCATAATGCCTCATAGCCGTGTTTAGGAATATTTTGGTCACCTACCCAATCCTGGTGCAGGGATACTGGTCAGGCAGGAGTCCTGCAGCCTCTTCTCTCTCAACAGTGCCGTCTGTTGCATGTCCTCTCCTAAGTATGTTACCTGCAACCAGTAGCAGTTGTAGCTTGTAAGTCTCTTGTAAATCCCCCCCCCCCCTTCAAATAAAAAAAAGCACCATTAGTCACTTAATGTCATTTTTAAGACATTTGGAATGATACAAACAATGATGAAATCTTAAGCTGATTTTACTAATCACATTAGTACTGCACATCTCGTAGTTATGCCAAGCTCACAAACACTAGAATCAGGGCAAATGGTGACATGATCGATGTGACACGAAAATGAGCGACGGAACACCGACCTCTCATATCAGCCATGCCTAAATCCGCCAGTGCCTGCAACCACCACCATCATTATAAGGACGACACCCGGACATCAACCCATAAACTCTCCAACACAACCCGAAGAATTTGGCTGCAATGCCTTACAGAAGGAAACGTCTCAGGTGAGGATCCCTCATGAACCTTAAACAGCAAACACTCACCGCATCCATGGGAAAACTGGACTGCAACACGTCCCCTTCCAAAGCTGGATCCACACCTGCAGCATCTCCCCAAACATCCATGTCCCAAGTCCTCCCACAGAGAGCCATCTCCTCTGGAACGGGATACAAATATACATGGATATCTTCACTAAATCACTCATGGTCTGGATCTACCATATAGGCAAGGGGCACTGTGTCAAGCGCCCTTTGAATATACCAGATAGAACCACACCCCCGGTTTACAGCTATTACTGCTGCACAAAATATTTGAGATGATCATTCAAGAAGCTCTGGGGCCTCAGTGAATGCCCATACGCCTCTGAAATCACCGAATAATATCAATATAAAACTTATGCCGTATAACGTACATGTAAATGCCGTGAGAAAATAACACCGTAGGTCTAAATCTGAACAGTGTTTTACACACGTGTTTCAAAAGCAAATACACTGCATGGGAATGACTGGCTAAGGACTTTGTTACATGATCTACCTTTCTCTTCCTCCTCCAGGACGCGGACGGTGCTGTGTAACTCCACGCACTGATCCTGGGGGCTGTCCGGCCGCTTCGGCCGCCTGCTCAGCTCCCCCTCCATCAGCTTCAGCTTCATCCTCAGCGTTTCGTTCTCGCTGCGGCTCCGCGACATTTCCGAGCGCAGCGCGGCGCAGCTCTCATCCACAAGTTTAATTATCTCCGCAACGGCGGTCTTGGTAAGGATTTCCATGATGGATGTTAAATGGCTCTGGAATATAACAGAATCCGACATTTCAGAAGCGGATTTCACATACCCTAATACGGAAATATGTTTAAAATCGCACACGCCAAGTAGGCAGCTGGCGACTTGAATTACGCAAGCATGACACAACTATCGAAAGTGAAGTTTAACAGAACGGCAGCCAGCATCCGAAACCCCATTTCCTTCGTGAAAAGGAGGATGGCCCTTTTCCGGCATTATCTCCGTGTCTGTCCCCTTGGTGGAGCTGTTGACCAATTTATATCAACATGTTTTTAAACACCGTCAGATCGGACAAATCACATACGCACTGCATTCTACGGAAAGCCCCGAAGCCCAAACATAATTCCGCATACAGACAGAATTCAATTTAATTTATAACGCTTTTCAAGTTTTTGTTTGTCACACACACACAATAAGACACTTCACAACTGTGCAGTGAGAAGCTTTTTCGCCTGCTTCATGGATTGTGCTCGACGAAATGCGCAATACAAAGAAAAGAGCAAACCCGTAATTACAGACTGTAAGTAGACAATTAAATAGAGAACAGCATATCAACAATTGAAAAAGGTGGAACGACAGGTGGTTGATAAAGAATGTAAAGTGATTCTTTAGCTATGGGAGTCCTCATTCAGAATATGAATGGCTTGAAAGTTTAAGCTTTTCCTCTATCTCAGGTTGTGATAGTGTATCCCTGACCACAGCAGGGAGAGATGGTTGTTGTGGGGGTGAGCAAGGTCTAATTTTTATTTTCAATGCCTTTTCCCTGCAATGCTACCTGCAAGTGGCCTGCAGGTTCACGGGGCTGTGCTGTCCTACTTGGTGCAACTACCAAACCAGGTGACAATGCTCCCAGCCAGGATTCTCCCAATGGTGCAGGTGTAGAATGATTTTAACCAGCATTTTGAATATGAGTGGTGAAGCTGACACTTAAAATGACTCAATCCTGGTGGTTTTCTATATGTAGCGCCGAACAGTCTGTTTCTGACGTAGCTGATCCCAGCAGTGGTGGGTTAAAATGATTGTTGATACCATTATTTGAATCGAGATTTCCCCTGACTGCATTAATTATGATAATTAAGATTCTTATGATTAGCTGGCCAGGTTTGAATGATTTCTTAGTTTTATTTCCTACATAGAGTTCATTGGATCATGATATAGAAAACCGACATCAAGAAAATATGCATATAGGACTCACTAATTTTATTATTACATGCTGTCAGGTCAATATTGTGTCATTCCTCCAAAACGTTCTGTCTTCTATTCAGGTCATGAGGGACGTTCATTGCTGTGACGTTCTTTAACAATGTCATGAAGTGTAAATGGAAGGACCAGAATAAGGGAGCAAGGAAATCTAAATGAAAACACACGAAGAACAAATCTAAAGACCTGTGATTCTTTTTTTCCCAATTTGTTCTTTCGTATAAAACAGAGAGATGGAAAATGAGCAGGATAAAAATCATAACAGTTACAGCTCATGAAAATCGATCCATCATCCAGCAGCTTATTCAACACAAAGTGCTTGAGAGTTTGGGGCCTAATCGAAGAAGCACAGGGCACAAGGCAGGGGGACTTCCTGGATGGGAAGTCAGTCTGTAACAGGACACACACACTCACTCATTATGGGCAATTTAGAGGCTCCAATTCTCCTAACCACACATTTCTGGACTGCAGGCCGAGACCCCCACAACAAAATGAGAACATGCAATCTGCACAAAACAGAGAGAGAGAGAGAGAGAGCAGAATTCAATTACAGTGAACTGCAAATGGTGAATCAATGGAGGTAAAAGCTAAGACAAGGAAACTAAAACCAAGAAGGGTAAAATCCATGACTGTTAAATGGACATTAAGCAGGAATCCACAAGGACCATCAGAAAACTACACATTGGGTGAAGGCAGATCATACAAACAAGCAACATGAAACTGAATGTGATGGATGTGTCCTGTGTCCTATGCACTGACACTTGGAAACAGTGGGAAAAAAATATGTGCATCCTATCATTTATAATCTATTGTGAATGCTAATGAAAGTAGCTATTATCATGCGTTATAAACCACTAATTTGTTTAACTTACTTAGATACATTATTGCTTCACATTGAGTTAAATCAGACAGTGCTTAAGATTCTCTCCCACAGTGAGTTTCAAAGTCTGTTAAATGGACCGGCAGAGCCAAAGACGCCAGAGGCATATCTACGCGAATTGCTGTACTATAACATACACAAGCATGCAAATTGATAAAAAAAAAATCATATTTGAGGAAAATGCATGAGTTGTCCTACACACCATTAGTTTTGAACACATATTTATTCTATCTGTAGTTTCAACTATGTCGAAAAACAAATGTATTGATATATGCATGTAGAATACATATATTTTCCTCGATTTTATATTGATTACCTGATTATTAAAATCTGCCGCTCTAAAGGCAGCGTGTGCACTATATCCACAAGTCGAAGGTCTCTCAAATGACAGTCTTTGCCCGACGACCCAGTGGCCCGGAAGTAGCGCGTGATTAGCTGTTAGCCACTTAGCTCCCGAACTGTTCCGGCTAGTGTATCACCGTTAGCTAGCACAGGCAAATGAGACTGGTGTAACCGCAAGAACCTTTTTCTAGTCTGAAGTGTTGCAGATTGTCGGCTACCCAGACAGTGCCGATAATCCCACACAGATCCTAAAGCGTGTGATGCGAGCTAGCTTCCTAAAAAATGTCGACTTCTGTTGCTTTCCGGGGACAGTTAACATCCGTCATGGAAATCCTGACCAAGACCGCCGTGGCGGAGATAATCAAACTTGTGGATGAGAGCTGCGCCGCGCTGCGCTCGGAAATGTCGCGGAGCCGCAGCGAGAACGAAGCGCTGCGGATGAAGCTGAAGCTGATGGAGGGGGAGCTGAGCAGGCGGCCGAAGCGGCCGGACAGCCCCCAGGATCAGTGCGTGGAGTTACACAGCACCGTCCGCGTCCTGGAGGAGGAAGAGAAAGGTAGATCATGTAACAGCCACAAAAACATGTTATATTAATACGAACGTTTCTGCAAGACGCTGACGTTAGAAGTGTAGACATGTCATTTTGTTTGCTGGTTACTTGCTGTTTTCTATGAAAACTAGCTATTTATATATCTATCATCCATCCATCCATAAACACAACGTCCAGTTGCCTTTCCTGGTCATAATCAGAAGTACTAAATTTACCTTTTGGAGTATCAGGAATCTGCTCCACATAAATCCACACAAATCAAACTTTAACATAAGATAATATGTAAAGAAACTTCAGGGAGACACAAAACAGACACAGATGTGTTGGTTACGGTAGTAGGAGAGAGTTTGATATTGGGATGGAAAAAAACTTACTGATTTAAAGGCAAAGGTCTATTTTCTGAAGGGGGAGGGTGAAGGCAAAAAAATATTGGGGGGTACATGCCCCCCCT